CTGAGACTCGTAAGTTTTACTATTAGATGTCGGGGTGTTGACCTATTTTTATTGATTTTGAGAGAGGTTCTCCGTGCCTCCTGGAATTTGATGCCTGTTTCCTTCCCCACATCAGGGAAGTTCTCTGCTATAATTTGCTCCAATATACTTTCTGCCCCTCTCTCTCTTTCTTCCTCTGCTGGGATCCCAATTATTCTAATGTTGTTTCGTCTTATCGTATTGCTTATCTCTCGAATTCTGCCCTCGTGATCCAGTAGTTGTTTATCTCTCTTTTTCTCAGCTTCTTTATTTTCCATCATTTGGTCTTCTATATCGCTGATTCTTTCTTCTGCCTCATTTATTCTAGCAGTTAGTCCCCCATTTTTGATTGCACCTCATTAATAGCCTTTTTGATTTCGACTTGGTTAGATTTTAGTTCTTTTGTTTCTCCAGAAAGGTTTCTCTAATAACTTCCACGCTTTTTTCAAGCCCAGCTAGTATCTTTAAAGTCATGATTCTGAACTCTAGGTCTGACATCGCACTAATGTCCGTATTGAGTAGGTCCCTGGCCGACAGTACTACCGCTTGTCCTTTTTGCTGAGGTGATTTTTTTCGTCTTGTCATTTTGTCCAGAGAAGAAGAGATGAATGAGAGAACAAAATGCTAACAGGTTAACAACATCTCCAGAAAATATACTCTAAACAAATCAGAAAAGACCTGAAACCAGGGGAAAAGAAAGGGAAGGAAAGAAAAAAGAAAGAGAAAAAGAAAAGAAAAGAAAAAGATAAAAAGAAACAAAAAGAGGACAAGACAAAAAAAGTAGAATATGATCAAATATGATCAGGCTGGTGTATAGATCAGTGCCACACACTAGATTTTGGGTGTATTTTGGTCTGTTAGAAGAAAGTGCCTCCTAAAATTTTAAAGAAAGAAAAACTTATATATGTACAAAATAAGGGTTGCTACGATGAAGGGATTGGATATGACTGTAAAAATGAAAATTATAAAAAATTTTAAAAGGGGAATTGATCAGAAGGTGTTTGCAAAAATAAAGAAGAGGATTTAAAAAAAGGAAAGAAAGAAAGAAAAAA